CAAAATAGGTCCAGTCGTCCAGTAAGTTTTCTTTGGCTTTCCTGAGTGGTCTGGCCCAATAATTGATAATAGATGGGTTTGGGTCGGTAGAAACCAAAGAAAATCTGAGTGATCCATCGCATGGGCCTTTGTTGATGAATGAGTCAAAAATCATGAAATGTCGACTATCGTTCAAGTTAGCTCATTCCAAGCTTGATCTATCTCTACTGATCTCTTCCTCATGACTCCTTGGACGAGTGAAGTGTCTATAGTTGGTCCAAGTGAGCTCATGAACCTTAGGAACCATTCCAAGCAAATTTTGTATAGTTGGATCTCCCTTATCGCCTTGTGTGCTGGTTGTACCGGCTGGAAAGAATGGTCCTTTGTGGATGCCCCTTTACGGATGACCTAATGGAAGAGCTTATCAGGGTCACATCATCCCCCCCTTTCTTCAAAAGGAATTGACCTCAAATCTGTTTGTCGAGCATTCAAAGAAAGTGTCTTAGTTCCAAAGAAATCAGAGAACGGTTTAGGCTTACCTATCATCTTTTGGCCAACGGTCGAGTAAGAAATGATCCAACAAGGCTCGCCATCTTTTCTGGTCCATGATAATCACGTCCATGGTTCTTCCTTCCTTGTTTTCCTTATTCTAGAAACACACTCAACAAACTAGTATCAAATGTACCCACAAAACATTCACTTAAGTGATCAAACAAAATTTTTGGAGACGAATCACTTTTCAAACCAAATTTATAACCATCAAAACATTTGTAAAGCATTGAAATCTGATCAAAGTTCATAAAAAGGTTAGAAAATTTTAACTGAGAGTCTGAAAACGTTTTAGGTCAAAATATTGTTGTGGCACAATCGACTGAATCATTCCATCAAAAACAAAGCTTGGCAAGCAAATTTCTTTGACATTTTTCAATCCTAACAGTTTCACATCAGTAGAAGACATCATAACACCTTCCAAACAGATAATCATTCAAAACAAAAGCCTTACCTTGCTATGGAAGAAATTTTGTAGTGACTGATTCAAGAGACGGTTTTGGTACAAGGCAGTTTTCATCCTTCTTTCCTTCTTTCAAGCGACATATTTCTTCTTTGTTAGTTTCCTGAATAAGAGAGTCATGTCTACTCGGTTGCACCGGTTCCAAATTGGTTAGTTTAAGACAAGACTTATCAGGTTTGGTTTTAGAATGAGGTGGAGTTGCTTTACCTATTTCTTTGAGGGCTTTCATGAGAAAGTTTGCATGTTTGATCAAGGTACCATTTTCATCACTGCCTGGTTCTTTCTCCTTCTTTCTGAGACGTTTCCAATCAAGGTAGACTTCGCGTTGGGTCATTGGCATGAGGGTAATGTCTTCCCATTCTACTCCAAAGCGTATAGGTTTGTGAAACCATCAATATGAGACACTATCTGATCTGACTGCCACGGCCTACCCAAGAGTCAATGACAATTTCCCATTGGTAACACGTCACAAAGAACCTCAGACTTGTACCTTCCAATAGAGAAAGGAACTAGAACTTGCTTAGTTACTTTCATACATCCACTTTCATTGATCCATTGCAGTAGAAAAGTGATGTTAGGAGTTTTCAAGGCTCTTAATCAAATGATGTAGTATAAAGGATGTCAAACCAGTTCTAACCGATTCTAAATCAAATGGAATGCAAGACCATGTTTAATCTAAGTACTATCAATTGGTGAGATGATTTTTAACTAAGGAACTACTAATAAAGCAATAAAGATCAAAACTTTCTTTCTAAATGAGATGGAAGAACTCATGGGACAAGGGAGTTGATCTTGGGTGATCAAGTTTCAATCTAAAGGTAGAAGCTTTTCAATCATTCTATCAATCCTAGGCCTAGAAACAAACCTAAACAAACTCTATCTCTAGAAGAATGTTCATTTGCAAAGATAACTCAAGCATCTAATCACTTAGGTTGAATACTATCTAAGAAATCATTTAAATCAAGTCTACTAGTCATCCTAACACCTTTAACAACAAATCTCTTTGGTAAGGAATGTTAAAAAAGCATTGGATAGTTGGTTCAGGCATTTCATCGAGCACCTCTCGGGCATGAAATGCCTAAAGTTCTGTTTTAGAGAGAGCATCTCTAAAATAGCATTGAGAACACTCTACAAGCAAGGAATAAGATGGATCTATACTAAAACACCATAGATCTAGCTTAATCACCCTTGATCTCCCTAACCCATGAATCCAAAAATGGTCTACTCACTAATCTTCATGATTAAGCTTAAACCCATGATGGATAGAAGACTAATCATGTTAAAAAGAAGAGCTAGACTCAAATTACTCAAGAAACAAAGATTAAATTACTAAATGATTCAACTTTCCAATGTGCTTTTGAGAAAAAAGAAGATATAATCCCAAAATGGGATTACAAGAGTATTTATACTTAGGTTTAAAAGGAATAAAACATCAAGATAAAAGACTAAAATGGCCTTGGAAACACTTCTGGTCGACCAAGGGAAGAAAAAAACGCTCAGGGTAGATCAGGCTCGTCCAACCCGCACACTTCTACCCGGTTAGAATCCTCCTCGTCCAACCGCACGGGTAGGCTTACCCAGTGCTTTCTACGCCGTGTGGTTTCTTCCAATACGTGCGGGTAAGGCTACCCAGCACATTCTACCGTGTGTGGATTCGTCTGCGACCAAAGCTCGCCCAAGCCGCGCGGGTAAGCTTACCCGGTGGATATAACCCGCATCCTCACCCAAAGTGTTTCTTGGTTGGTCTGAGCTCGGCCAAGCTCCATTCTTCACCTCTTTTTGGGTACTAAATCTCCCAAACATCTCAAATCACTCCATTGCACACTCCAACACCTAATAAGGACAATGAATGAAATATGGACTCTAAATATGCCTAATCTCTAATCTATATGCTCAAAATGTACAAGATATGATTGTTAAAAACATGTAAATATGCAAGATATCAAAAAGGTTCACTGCGCCTGGTTGTTTTCAAATCAAGCTTTCTTACCATCACCTCACTAGCAACATTAGCGCAACTGTCACCATCTATGGTAAGACTACAAAGCTTTCCTTGCACTTCACATCTGGTATGGAACAGGTTGTCTCTTTGTTCATTCTCTTGTGGTTTTACCTGCATACTCAAAACCTTTCTAGCAACAAGTAGATCACCTTCAGGCGCTTCGATCAAATTTATTCAGAGGAATCTGAGCTTGAATCTTTTTCCTCCTCGGTTCCAATCTCTCCATTTGCAATGATCACCATTGTCCTTCAGTTTGGACACTCCTTTGCCATGTGACCTTTTCCCTGACATTTAAAAAATTGAATGTCACGATTTATGGTAAAAGAATATTCAACTTTACCTCTCTCTTGCTGAATGGTTTGTGGTTTGTCAAATTTTGGCTTATGTTCTTCCTTAGGATAGCTTGTCCTCATGCTGGAAGTTCTTTCATAAAAGAAACAATGAAGAAAACAAGATGTGGAAAACATAAAACAAAGACTTGACTTTTGACTGAATACTTGGACTGACTCTTGACCTCCCACATGTCTTTGACTCAAGCGCACTCCTTGGATTTGCTTGGACAAAAATATATGAAAAAAGATCTTTTTTATTCTAGGCCCAGAGTTGTCGACCTGAGAAACCTCATTTCGGTCCAAAAACAGTCCAAAATAGGTCAAGTCGTCCAGTAAACTTTCTTTGGCTTTTCTGAGTGGTCTGGTCCAATAACATGACTTAGAATTGATAATAGATGGGTTTGGGTCAGTAGAAACCAAAGAAAATCTGAGTGATCCATCCCATAGGTCTTTGTAGATGAATGCATCGAAAATCATGAAACATTGACTATCTTTCAAGTTAGCTTGTTCCAAGCTTGATCTAGCTCTACTCTTTCTCTTTCTCATGACTTCTTAGACGAGTGAAGTATCCATAGTTGGTCCAAGTGAGCTCATGAACCTTATGAACCATTCCAAGCAAAGTTTGTATAGTTGGATTGCCTTTATCGCCTTGTGTGCTGGTTGTACCGGCTGGAAAGAATGGTCTTTTGTGGATGCCTCTTTGCTGATGACTTAATGGAAGAGCTTATCCACATCACTGTGGTCTTCAAAAATCAAAGCATTACACACCATCCAGATAATCTAACAGATCCATGAATAAATATTGCTTGTGATTCATGGATAACGAAAAAAATTGCTTTGTTAAAGAAAATGGCAACAACTTTGAAATCGGTTTACAGTTATGTGAACTGTTTGTTGAAGAGGTATATATTGTCTAACGACTCTAACCTTATAAGGAATTGACAAGTGAAGAAGATATGAGTTGCGGGTTTTACTTTCTGTCTCTAGGACAATTAGTAATAGACAATGTTTTTTTTAATAGTTTTTTTTTCTGTTGGAGAAGCATTTTGGATAATAGACCATAAAACGACTCATTTTAGGAGAAAAGATACCCGACTCTATATATTTTATCTAGTTGAATTACCTATTGAGACTGAATTGATAGGATCTAATGTTTTCATCCCAGCCGAGAAGTAACTAAAACTTGTTGAATAGATACCTAAATGCCTGACTGAAGTCTGAAGAGGTTGCCAAATGAAAGTGTATTTTGTTCTTTTTCTGCTTCATTGGAGAACTCGGATTTGCTCGAATTTCATTCTTCCTGCATATAATTAGTTATCTTCAAGCAGTATGATATTTGTGTAGTATTAATCTTCTATACTACGGTTCTTACCCAATGGGACGCCACTTCAGACTTCAACTTCAACTTCAGCCGTTTTTAATAATGCTAAACAGCATGCAGTTCATTTCTACAATTACGACTCTCAGGCCCACTTACGTTGGTGCAAGCATGACACACATTTTCAAGCAAGGGGAGGAGCCAGAGGAGAACAAAATATCATATGCACAAAGCCCACTTAAAAAGAAGAAACGAATTACAAAGTGTGAAGTAAATTTTCGTTACATGAAATTTTGTTTCAACATAGTTCGGAATCTTGACTTGTTCTCTGTCACGGTTCAAGAATATATTTTGAAGCTATCGGCCTCCACGCCAACCGGAAACAGACTTGGGGACAAGTGAAATCGAGTTTGAGGCAGCTTCTAATCTGCACAAATCCCGAAAGTGAATCTGTTTATCACCACACAACAAATGAAAACAGCAGTAGAGCGAGGGAAGAGGGAGCTACTTTGAGATTTCTTCAACAGCTTTCATGACTTCATCAGACCTAGTTTCCAGCACCTGTCCTCCAAACACAATCTCATCTAACACTGTGTGCATCTGCAACATTGTGAACTAAAGAAATCACTACGCTTTCGTAACATGTAGTTATCCAAACTATTATGCAGTTCCAGGTTATGAATATAAAGGTATCAAATATAAACTATTCTTCGTAATACTAGTACCTTGCTGTAGTTGAACACAATGTCGAGTTCACAGACATTGCTGAAGCATTTGTCCAGAGTTTCAACAAGAACTACCAATGCAAGAATCAAACTGAAGTCATCATTAATATATATTTTTTAAGAGGACAAACCAATGAGCAGGAGAATAGGCAACCATTAATATTTTTTCTAACAACAGTTTGACAAGCGTAGATTCATTATAATTTGCAGGACTTTCAAGGCCGTATATTCTCTGTAATACACTAAATGGAAAGAACTACACTGACACTTGATCAACTATCGACCAAACACAATATCAAACCAAAGTACAGGAACACCCACATACTAACACACCATTTCAGCCTGTAGACAAATTAAAAGTTTATACTGAGTGGAGTGGTTTTAGCTTTACACTCATGGAAGATGTTGAAATTGCAAATCTCAGTTAGTAATATGATTTCCAAAAGTTGAAAGCAAACTACAGCTATATTGTTGTATTATTCCAAAAGGACTGACAGCAAGATATTTATCATTGGAGTCAAAGAACAAGAGTGATTATTTATAAACAGATAAAGAGAATGCACCTTGAATGAGATCAAGCATAGCCAGCTCATTCTCTGATCCATCAAATACAAGCACAAAGTAGAGAGTAGCATAGTGTTTGTACACAAGCCGAGAATCCTACAAAAAAAAAAAAAAAAGATTCAAACACAAAGTTTCGATTTTTTTACTGAGAGGTCACATAGCACAAGGCATTACCGGCCCAAACAATGCATCAATCTCCAGAAAGTTGCTTACGTTCTCAGGTCTACTGCTCAACACTGTTAAAACATGATCGATAAATAATACACGATCGAGGTGATTGTTGATCGGAATCTGGGAATATTCAAACCTGAAAACACGCCGCGGATGAGCTCCTGTTGCTTCTCTACAGGCTAAAACCAGAAAAAAAATCCAAATCCAAATCTGAGAATAGGTCGTAGTAGATCCAATTTTGTAAATTAAGAACTATGTATCAGAGGTACCGGACCAAGAAGTCGTAGAACTTGGCTAGTCGTGGCTTGCCTTGTGTGTTCATCATCATCACTGCCTTTATCATCTTCACAATCTCTTTCACCCTGAAACTTTCCAAGACTCCGATCTCGACGATGATGATGATGAAGACAGTGCCTACGTATTTAGTTTAACTCCACTAACCTTCTGTTTTACTCAGAGACTTTCTTAACTAATCCCACGTGTCACGTTTTCACATACTCATCTGTAACCTTCTGGTTGACTTATTAGAAGTTGAATCCAAATGTGTTTTCTGAGTTTTCCAGCCAAAATCAATTCTTTTCACCGACGATCCAGTATTATAGTATGGCAACTATAATTAGTCTGTCTTCGAGAGCTAAGCTTAGAGAATGTTTACCACTTCATTATAAGGTCATCCATCTATGCTAGATGAAAAGACGAAGCTCTTCACTCTCTTCTGATTTACACATTATTTTTAAACGTCACTTGTTATCTTGTATATGTAATATGTGTGATTGTTTCTGTTTGCTTTTAGTAATTTCTCACGCCAATGAAGATTCAGGTAAAGAATGAGTGATAGCTGCATTGGAGAATCCTAATCTCCGTCAGCTCCTTGCTGAGGTGTATCTACTCCAGTGAGATATTGAGCATTTACTTCTTTTTGTATTGCTAATGTCACTATATACATTTTGCAATGGTCCAATGTTATATACTGCCAGATAAATGATACAAACCTTTTCCTCAAGGTAGCCACAGCTCCGAGTTTACCAAAACATCTAGAAACGAAGCTACGATAAACCAAATGTATTTCCTTGTATTTGACTTCTACAGTTTTGAGGATGCATGTCTTGTTTAGTTTATTTTATTTTTCTTGAGAAAGGGCATTTGTTGTCTTGTTTACTTATTAGACTATCCAAATTGGTTAACATTATTTAGGGGTGTCAAAATGAGTTATAGCTCATGAACTGGCTCAGCTCAACTCGATTTTTCATGAACATGATCTCTATTTTTTGGCTCATTTAATAAATGAGTTTAATGATCGAACTTAAATTAGATCATGAGTTATACGGACGATCTTTAATGAACATGAGCTAACTCACGAGTTTGATATAAATCATCACAAGACTCTTATGTATAATATATTTTTGGATCACTAATTTAGTTTTGATTTAATATATTATTAGGTATTGATTTTATTCACTATTTAATATTAACACTTTGGATTTTTAAATTTATATTATAATATATAATATTCTTTATTTTTTCTTATTTTTTCATTTTTATGTTTGATCGCGAGTTAGTTCATTTAATTCATGCACATATAATAAATAAGCTGAGCTAAGCTAACTCATGAGAAAGAAGGGGGAGTCCTCAGACATGCAGATACATTTCTTCAATTTAATAACATGATAGAAAATTGTGGATTCTTGGATTTTCCAAGTTTGGTTAACACTCTATCATGAAGTGGTAGGAGGGCAGGACATATCGTTAAATGTCGGCTGGATAAAGCTCTGGCGAATAGTGAATGGCATAACCTGTTTCTATGCTCGTTTGTTGAATATTTGGGAATGATTGCTTCGATCATAGGCCTATAGTAGCCTCGATCGAGGATACAATTCTTAAATTTGGCCGACAATTTATGTTCGATAAAAGATGGATTGATCGAGATGGGCTGATGGAATCTATTGAACGAGGTGGTCTAACCCAAGAGGTGGATCAAATGGGGGTATAGTAGATAGGATTCATAATTGCAGACGGGCGATTTCAGTTTGGAGGAAGGAGAATCCATCTCATGGGAAAGAGCAAATAAATACTTTACAAAAGGCTTTGGAGGAGGTTCAAAATGATATGTCAATATCTCACGAGGAGGTAATGGAAGTATCACGGAAACTAAAAGAAGCATATAGAGATGAAGAACTATATTGGGAACAAAAAAAAGTAGAACTTTGTGGAATACATGTGGAGATAGAAATACTAAGTTTTATCATGCTTTAACCAAACAGAGGCGGATCCGGAATAGGATCATTGGCTTATATAATGAGAATGGTGATTGGATAAATTGTGAGGCTGAGATTGAAGGAGTGGCAGTCAAGTATTTTAACAATTTGTTCCACTCCTCCTCACCATCAGAATTTGAAAGGTTTCTAGTGGAAGTGCCGCATTCGGTGACGCCTGCCCAAAATAGCAGGTTAACGGCCTCAGCCTTCAAGGAAGAAGTTAGGACGGCCCTATTTATGATGCACCCTGAAAAGGTCCCAGGCCCAGACGGGATGATGGCACTATTTTACCAATAGGCCTGGTCGGTTAATAAGGATGATGTGGTTCACATGGTTAATGATTTTCTCAGTTTGGGTTCTCTCAATGATAGGTTGAATATGACAAATATCTGCCTTATCCCGAAAACAGTTAGGCCGAATAGGATGACGGAGCTACGACCCATTAGTCTTTGTAATGTGGGCTATAAAATTATATCTAAAGTTTTGTGCCAACATTTGAAAAAATTATTGCCCAATCTTATTTCGGAAACGCAATCGGCCTTTGTCTCAGGTAGGCTCATCTCGGATAACATACTTATTGCACAGGAGATGTTTCATGGATTACACACAAATAACGCTTGTAAAAAAAATTTATGGCGATCAAGACGGATATGAGTAAAGATTTTTATTGGGTTGAATGGGCCTTTATGGTGAGGCTATTATTGAAAATGGGCTTTTGCTCAGTTTGGGTTGATCGGGTGATGACTTGTATTTCTTCGGTTACTTACAAAGTATTACTAAATGGTCAACCTAAGGGGAACATTGTTCCAGAGAGAGGGTTAAGAAAAGGGGATCTTTTGTCCCCATACTTATTTATTTTATGTACGGAGACGTTCATTGCAAACATTAAGAAGGAAGAGAGGGAGAAACGATTAATAGGATTAAAAATCTCACGGGGAAGGCCTCCAATTTCACATTTACTCTTCGAAGATGATAGTTTATTCTTCTGTAAAGCTACAATAGTCGAATGCGATGCTATCCTAAAGCTCCTTACAGACTATGAGCAGTTTCAGGTCAACTTATTAGTTTTGATAAATCCTTTCTGCAGTTTGGACACAAAGTATCAGACTCACTAAGACTGGATATTCAAAATAAGCTTGGCATTACTAAAATAGGAGGTATGGGTAATTATTTAGGCTTACCAGAAAGTCTGGGGGGTCCCAAGACACAAATATTTGGTTTTTTGAATGAAAGGGTTAATCATAAAGTGACTAACTGGACAGTTCGGTTTCTTTCTAAAGGTGGAAAGGAGGTTATGATTAAATCAGTAGCCTCGAGAATGTCAAACCATGCCATGTCATGTTATAGACTGCCTAAGACAGACACTAAAAAAATTACAGGGGCTACGACACACTTTTGGTGGAGCAGTGGTGGTAATAGAAAAGGTATACATTGGTTCTCATGGGATAAGGTATGTCTGTCCAAAGAGGAAGGAGGGCTTAGTTTTCGTGATCTTCAAAATTTTAATACGGCTTTACTGGCAAAACAATTATGGAGTCTAATCGACAAGCCAAACTGTTTGTTTGCAAAAGTATTTAAAGGCAAATATTTTCAGATTAAGATCCATTGGATCCACACAGATCTTATTCACCTTCGTATGGTTGGAGAAGTATCTGTTCAGCTAGATCTCTGGTAAATAAAGGGCTAATCAAAAGAGTTGGAACGGAACAAACCATTTCAGTATGGAATGATCCATGGATTCCTGCTTCTCGCCCGAGATCAGCAAAACCAAAAATGCAACCACAGTTTTTTAATCTTACATTAACGGTGGATCAACTTATTGATCCTTTGACTAAATCCTGGAATGTAAACTTGCTTAATGCATACATACATCCGGATGATGTTACAATGATTAGGGGTTTGGCTATTAGCCGGAATGGTAGACAAGATTCTTATGGGTGGTCTCCTACAAAATGAGGAAAATATTATTGGGCCCAAATATGGCCCGTTAGCTGAAATTAGCAGATCAATCAATTTAGCCTAATGATGGGCCGCACATGGGTTATCATTTCAAAGGAGAACGAAGCTCACCTAAAGACGGAGACTACTTCTGGGGATTCTTACAAAAGAGGTCACAGAAAAGAGGTCCGGCTTCTCTGTCAGGGACCTAACAAAAACAGCTCAAGATACGAAGTAAGAGGCGTACGATTCGATCAAAGCCGAGCTGTTGTAAATCCCTCAACTGCACGGAGTAAATCTCGGGGGTTGGTTAAGATCGTTCGAACGTAGCCTGAGGCTATTTAAAGGGAAGCAAGACAAAGAAGATGGGGATCAATTTTTATTCAACCATTTTTACACATATTATTGCTCACGAAATATTTTCATAATTCTTTGTAACCATCGGAATCATCTTTGTAATCATTATTCATCAATACAATCACAAATTCATTCTCTAAGTTCTAACGGGATTCAGCTCACGTTATCTTTCCTCAACCTTAACCTGATCTAAAAACTAGGAAGTGAGTTTTACCCCTCACATTTGGCGTCGCCTGTGGGGACAGAAATAATCGAATCCCTTACTCCGTAACTTAAGAGTGTATCCATCCAACCAGACAACAAACCCATCTGTTCCTGTTCCCATAATCCAGATCGATGGATCACCAAACGGCGGAGGCTCAAACCCCCAGGTCCAGGAGCCTCAACACGCCGATAACCGATCTGAGCAACAGCCTCCGGCTAATGCTCAAATGAGCCAGATCACCACTGGAGTAACTAACTCAAGACCCTCCGGAGGAAACAACTCTGGGGCTACATCCCCCGAGAACCCTCAACGTCAACCAGCTCAAAATCAATCGGAATCTCAGCTATCCGAGATGCGTCGAATGATGGTGCAGCTAGTAGACAGAGCTCAAGAAACTGAGCGTGCGATGCAGCAATTAGCCGCTCGACAGCAACGATTTGAAGAGGTAACCAGATCTCTAACTGCAACAACCCAGCCACCACAACGCCAGGGCTCAGGAATCACGTTCCGAGATCGGTTGTCTGATCCCACGTTCCCCCGCGGTCGTCTGAATTTTTCCCCCAGTGGCACTGCTCAGGACGGACAGGAATCTGTTCATCATACACTTCACGAGGGAACAATACCAACATTTAACCCACCTGTTACCAGCGCCATGGGAA